ATCCGAAGTAAACTGCATCTGCCTTGCCACTTGCCGTGTCATTTTGTTTTTGTTTCTGTTTTTGTATACACCTCAAGTTTTAGCTTATTAAAAAGTATGTTTTAGCAGTGCAGTGGCTGACACGTCCTAGTAAGACAAAGCTAAACCTCATAATTCATTGGTGGAACAGAACCCCCACTCCACCCCACCCCCCATGTAATCGCATTATTTGGGGTGGAGATGCTTCAAAGCGAAAGCCTTTGTAACAAATATTATTAAATTGCTAAACACACTTGCATGGTTTTCGAATGCAGCAAATGATTCAATCATTCTAAGTTTCATGAATGGATATAAATCTCATGCTTGAATTAGCAAGCACTTGCTATTATCTTAGTCTGCTCTGTATTACTTCAGTTCTTTACCCCCAAAGGGACAGCATAGAACTGTACATATATATTTTGTTTTGTAACTGTGTATGTATACACATAGCAGGCTGGCATATACGTACACTCAACCCTGAAAGGGAAGCTGTTTTTCCTTTTACCAGAATTGTTTTATGAGTAGAACTCTTGACTTGGGAGTCAAAAGTCAGTGTGTTACCTTTTCAGAGTAGATGGTGAAGCCCACCTTTTTACTAATTCCATAAGTGTCCATATGATAAGAGATGTATAAATGTAAATTAGTGTAAGTGGATAAAATAATACTTGATCAAGTTATTTTTTTGAACATGCATACTTTGATCTAGAACTAAATATGTGTTTAATTTTGTACATACTCTTGTGTCTTATTCTAACTTGCACCTTTTGTGATGTGTATTTATAAGTGTGCAGAAAACCTTTTGTGAAGTTTGGATTCCGGTTGTAGATTATGTATGATGGAATTGCGTGTAAAAGATATGAAGAAGGTGCAATCAAAGATGTGCTTTTCTGTCCCCCCCCTCCCCCCCTTTAGAACAAGCTCTTTCCTGTATTTAGCTTGGTTCTTCCCGTCTTCTTACTCCTGCTTTTGTGTTTTTGAACATGGTTCCCTGCATGAAACTGCTGAACAAGTTAGTTAAAATTAACATCAAGATACTGGGAGGAATCTACGAAACACTCGTGCAGTACAACGTCTCCAAATTAGTGTTTCTCCTGCATTTCTGGCCTGATTGGAAAATGCCCAGCTGGAATGTTTTTGTATCATACCCATTGTCAGCAGATTTTGAGAGGGGAGGGTGTCGGGGATTAATTTTCTAGTTCTGGTTTACATCTAAAATAGATTGAAATTTATATTTACTAGACCTATTCAAAGAATACACTTTTCTATATTGTAAAAACAAATGTCAGATAAATCACAAAGGAAAAAAAATAAAAAGTTTATACTATTCTGTACACGTGAATGTTTGCACTTTTTTCTTTGATAAGAACCTTTACATTCCTCATTACTACCAGGTTTTATTAGCATTAATGAGGCAATTTCCTTGAGAGGAATTTGTCCGAGCTTAAAATGCTTTATCATCTTAAATCCTCAATATGTCCAATGCAGAATTTCTTCTCTTTCCTCCCCAGCTGTCCTCTTCCCATACACTTTCCCATTTTCCCTGTTGAACAGGACATAGCCTTGGTTTTATTTGATTCATCATTTGTTCCCCATAATTCACTGGCAAGTCATGTTCCTTCTCGCTTTACAACATTGCAAAACCATGGCATTTCGCTTGACCCTCCTATCAGATGTCAAATAGATAAACAATTACATGACTTTCCATAGACATCTGAAGGCAGACCTGGATCAAGAAGCTTTTAATGTCTGTTGTTTCATTGTGTGTTTTATATATTCAGTTGGAAGCCACCCAGAGCAGCTGGGACAACCTAGTCAGATGGACAGGATGCAGGTAATAAATTATTATTATTAATATCCCACTCCAGATGGTTCATGAGAGCAACACTCACCATCAACATTGGGCAATACTGGTGTGCTTTGGCACAGGCCTCAACTCTGCTGAAGGTGAATGAAGATGCTGCTGTTTTCTTATGTCATTGAAAACTGATGTTACTACAGGGCTGAGGATATAAAACAGGAATGGACAACATCATTAAAACTAGGCTGTTTTGTGCAGTCCTCAGAGGTAAGCATGCTGTGATAGCTTCAACTTCATGCACTTTTACAAACAGCCATGTCGCAAGGTAACGGGAGAAAGAAGGCTGTAAGTTGTTAGGAAAGGGGCACACATTTATTCTAATTGCATTTCCCCTCAGACTTTTAGCCAAGAATTCGGCCTCTTCCCAATGGGAAGACCCATCAACGTCCTCTCCAGTTTCTTAAGTCCACAACTCGACTGCACAGCCAGTCTTGCGTGCAGCAGCTCCCAGTGCTTTGTAAACATTGGCCCGATTGTCCAGGAATGGAAAGTTTTTAGAGAAAAGTCATTCTACTAACTTAATCACTGGTTTTCGTTGCACCATCATGTGGAAGCAAGCCCTAATAAGCAGGAAGTGCTCCTGCCCCAAATACTACACGGACATGAAAGTAGCGCTGTGTAAACAAGGCATCTCATTTGATCTCCCACAACAGCCTTGTGAGGGAGGACAGGCCGAGAGAGGCACTGGCTGGCGCCACCTCCAGGTAGTACACACAGGGAGCTTTCATGGGAATTCAAGCCCTGGTCTCCCAGGGTCAGAGTCGGAAATCGTAGCCACTAGGTCACACTGCTTCCTTCCTTCTGCTTGGACTACTGCAATGCGCTCTACGTGGGGCTACCTTTGAAGGTGACCCGGAAACTACAACTAATCCAGAATGCGGCAGCTAGACTAGACTGGTGATTGGGAGCGGCCGCCAAGACCATATAACACCAGTCTTGAAAGACCTACATTGGCTCCCAGTACATTTCCGAGCACAAGTCAAAGTGTTGGTGTTGAACTTCAAAGCCCTAAAAGGCCTCGGCCCAGTATACCTGAAGGAGCATCTCCACCTCCATCGTTCTGTCTGGACACTGAGGTCCAGCGCCGAGGGCCTTCTGGCGGTTCCCTCATAGCGAGAAGCTAAGTTAGAGGGAACCAGGCAGAGGGCCTTCTCGGTGGTGGCACCCGTCCTGTGGAACGCCCTCCCGCCAGATGTCAAAGAGCAAAACAACTACCTGACATTTAGAAGACATCTGAAGGCTGTTCAGGGAAGTTTTTAATGTGTGACATTTTAATGTATTTTTAATCTTTGTTGGAAGCCGCCCAGAGTGGCTGGGGAAACCCAGCCAGATGAGCGGGGTATAAATAATAAATTATTATTATTATTATCCATCAGAACAACCAAAGCAGACTAAGTTCTGCGGCCAGGTCTGAACAACAAGACTATGCTTCCTCCATAGTCACATCCTTCTGGGCATTGCACTCTTCCATGCTTGCCTCAAATTTGCTGAGGACGTGCTGGCAGACACCCATGAGATCCTACAGCCCCTTCTGGAATATATTGACAGCCGGTAGGCCTCCTTTGGTCTGGATGCGGAGGTTTATTTTACTACAGGTTTTCTGTCAAACCTACCAATGAATGTAATTGTTTACAGTAATTTTTCAAATAAGTTATAAACTCCCCATTATTTATTAAAGCCAGCCTCTTCTTGGTTTCTAATTCTTCCTGTAAGTTTTGCCATTTCAGCAGAATTCATCAATTTTGTCTGCCATTCTTCCTTAATCGGAATTGTGACTTCTTTCCATCTCTGGATATTTCCCCTTTTTTCCTTGGACATTTATCCACACAAGTGAATAAGATCACAGAAATCAAGACAGCAAATATCCAAACCAAACAAAAAATCCAGCAGGAATTCATATTTTTCTTTCAGAAGGATGGGTGATGCTATATCCACAGAACTCCACTTCAGGGTTTTTCATGATCATGTATCGAAGGGAGTTACCAAGGGTGTGGTCCTCATTGTGAAGCACAAACGTAAAATAATAAATAATAATAATAATAAATTTTATTTATATCCCGCCCTCCCCAGCCGAAGCCGGGCTCAGGGCGGCTAACAACAATCAAATAATCAAACAGTCAAATTGTTATGTACTGAGTTGAATTAGGATCCAAACTGCAGCAGTCTGATTGGTCCTAGAACAATAGGATTCAGAATGCAGCAGTCTGATTGGTCCTAGAACAATGCAGCAGTATGATTGGTTGGCAGGAACTACCCAATCATGCTCCAGATAGAAGTGAATCCACAACCTGATTGGCTTACAGTAGAATTCCGGAATTAGCCAATCATGTGCAGCCCATTGTGTAAATAATGTATATAAAGCAGATACTTTGAGGGGACTTTCATTCATTCCTCCTCACCACTATGAGCTGAATAAAGAGCATGAAATCACCTTGCGACTCTGAGTATATTTCACAAATAATCACACATTCTAAAAATATTTCATTCTAAAAATTAATTAAAATCAAATTGATGACAGTTCTTATCTGTCTCATCTGCCCAAACCATCTGCAGCACTCGCGGCTCCTTCCCGTCCTCCTCGTCCCCCATTCTCAGGTCATAGACTTCTTATAATAATATTTCCCCCCGCTCCCTCACGCTGGGCTCAGAGCGGCGTCGCTCTAGGGCTCGGCATCTTTGTAGTGACAGCCCTATCGAAAGGAAAGCACGGGTGGGTTTCGCAAACCGCCTGCGTCAAGGAGGAACGTGCACGCAGGTCTACATGTTTCGTAGCTCTACGTGCTCGCCACCGTTGGTTGAAAGGCCGTTCAAACCGCCGCCATCGCGGATTCCGTTATCCTTATTGGTTCCCCTTCCTGGCCTGAAGCCCTTTCTGATTGGCTCGCGCTCCATCTTCGTGTATATATAAAACCGTTCTTCTCATTGGTGAGTTCTTCTTTAAGGCTCCGTAGTTCGGATTGGTTGCTTTTCCTTTCTATCATTCCGAAAACGTAATGGACCCGCGTACCGGAAGCGGAAGAGGATGTCAGGACCCAATCAAAAGCAGCGTACGGCTAAGAGCCAATGAGAGCACGGCCGCGCTAGGCGTGAGTTTGGCTATAGCCGCGTGCTTTGGCAATTCAATTCCTTTCGGGTTTCGTCCTTGGTGGAGTGCGGGTCTCTGCGTAGAATATGAGGGGTTTGCAGTAGCTTTGTGCTTAGGTTCATTTAACGGCGTGGGCGGACGATTATTATGACTACTGTTGTTATTTTCCTCTTCCCCCTTTAAATGTATTTAATTTAAAATTAAATGTATTAATTTAAATACATTTAAATGTATTCAATTGCTACTAATTTGGAGTCTAGTGAGAGGCACTTGAAAAATTGCCGGGGGTGGGTACCCAAAACATTTTTTTCCAATTTATTGGGGGAAGCTGGGGACCCCCACTCCGTTTTCTGTATTCTTTTCCAGACCTTTAGGCTTGAATGGAACTTTTCACTGTGATGAGGTGGGTCCATTTCTTCTGGTTAAGGGAGAGTCTCTTTAGTACGTACTGTGGTTGCTTTCTTGTCATAACTCGTAACTCCCCTCCACCCCAATCTTCAAATTTTGCCTTTGTTGCAACAGGAGACACAAGTTAGGAATAATCATCATCATAATTTGTCATTTATTTATAAGTTATTATTTATACCCCGCCCATCTGGCTGGAAGAAATTACGGTACTTGGCACAAATTGCCGGGCAATGTTCATAGCCAAGAAGCCATAACTTCCTAAGACAGAACTCAATACTGGAATATTAGTGCTCCTGGTTATTCAGTACAGTGGAGGCAGCAGCGAGACCTCTTTAATGTTGCTTGAAGGTGCACCCCCACTTCTGATAAGACTTGCAGGTAGTCTTAATATGTGTTTTACGTGCCCTTTTTTGTGTTGCAGAGGGAAAGGAGAATTGCTTTTTCCATAGATGGGGACTTCATGACAGCAAGGAGTCCCAAACTTCTTGAGGTATGACTGTTGCTCTGAACATCATTTGGCATAGGTTTTGTACTTTTATATTTTGAGGACTTGGTTTTGCCAGTGTCATAAAAAATGTTCATTTTCCTTGTTGATTTTTGGAAGTTTTAGTACAAAGTATCCTTAAAATGTGTGGAATCTACTTTTTAAAAAAGCTCCCAAATTGAACATGATTTCATGTAGATTCAACATCAGTATTGTAGGTTTATTTTTCATTTCTGGTAGTACTTGCCTGGTGTCCAGTGATTAAACCTTTTTTTGCTGTTCACATCATGATTTGCTGTGATTACTATTCTTGAAGATGAGGACACAGGATTTAAAGTAACATTTCAGATTCTTGAACATTGTATTTTCTAGATCTCTAGCTATCTTTTGATATTTACTTAATTAGAATTCATTTCCCTGCTTTCAGGCATAAAGAATCTTCCAGGATAATCAGGTAAGATTTAAAGCATTTGTGAAAATGGCGAAATTAAGAGCTAATACTCATGAACCTCTTGTACATACAAGTAGATCTGAGTTGTAGGGGGGCATCGTTTGTCATTCTACAATCCTGTGGTTTAGGGTAGCTGAAAAAAGTACTGCTGTGATCATACTGTATTTGTTTTCCTATTAAAACATTGTGTTCATGTGAACATGTACTATTAGGTTTGCTCAGATGGGTAGAAAATATTGTGCAAATCAGCTCCAGTAAATATTCTAGATTTTGTGCATAGTTGACACACAGAAAGTTTTTTAGATATGTGCCATAGCGGTCAACTTACAGATTTGAAAATAAGGGACCAGCAGCCTTAAAAATAAGGGACTTTCAGCCTCACTTGTTCCAGGGACTCCAGTCTTCCTGTCCTCCTGCAGTCTGGTCAAACTCATGCTGGTAGCTTCGAGAACACTGTCCAACCAACTTTGTAACCAGAGATTCAACTGAACAGAATCTGAATCACATGCACCACAAGGCCTATGCAGTCTCAACTTAAGATGGCTCCCCAGCCTGGCTTTGCACTGCAAAGTTTGCAGCAGCACATGCAACAAAATACAAGGCATGCAAGCTCCACCCCCCCAGTCGTTCTTAGACTTATTGGGTGAGCCTCCCTCCTCCCTGGCCGGCAGGGAGGGAGGGAGAGCAGCTGCTTCCTTTGAAATTTAAGGGACATCCATCAATAAGGGACAGCAGCAGGACATGGCGCTGGAATAAGGGACACTTGACAGCTATGATATGTGCATGTTATATAACGTTTGTACCCTGCTCTCTTAAGTATTTGGAACAGTGTATGTATAGTTCCCATATAGCTTTCCCATATAAGCAGCTTTAACTTCAGCAGTAGAATTGCATAATGTGCTTTTATTTATTCTCCCACCTCCCAGTATTTTTTAAAAGATAGATAGGGGTGTATCACAGTGAGCATGCTAGAGAGGGAAGTTCATTTTTAACGGTTGTGTCCAAAATTAAGTCCTGAGCTCTTAAAATTACTAATTTTACTAATTAAAAGCCGTTTCCTGTGTGTGTCTTGAGTGTGTCTTCCTAAGTGTCTTGAGAAAAATATGAATTCCTGCTGGAGTTCTGGGTGGTTTGGCTATGTGCTGTCTTGATTTCTGTGATATTATTCACTTGTGTGGAGGATCGAGTGGATAAATGCCCAAGGAAAAAAGGGGAAATATTCAGAGATGGAAAGAAGTCACAATTCTGACTAAGGAAGAGTGGCAGATAAAATTGATGAATTCTGCTGATATGGCAAAACTTGCAGGAAGAATTAGAAACCAGGAAGAGGCTGGCTTTAATAAATAATGGGGAAAGTTTGTAACTTACTTGAAAAATTATTGTAAACAATTACATTCATTGGTAGGTTTGACAGAAAACCTGTAGTAAAAAATTGAACTATGGATTGGCAAAGGATTTATAATAATAGAGTTACAGAAGAGATGCAGAGGGAAAATCATTAGATGAGGATCCACAAAGAGGGGCGGGGAGGGAACTCAAGGGGGATTTTATGTTTTTATTGTGTTTATTTTTCTTTTGCTTATTGTATGTAAAATTGAAAATGCAAAAATAACTTATAAAAATAAAAGAAGAGCCTCTCAGGCCCATGTCTAGAAAGCGTGGGATGAACAGAATAAAATCTGGACCAAATGGAAAAGGGGAAATTATAAAAGTATAACTTTTGACCAATCTCTGTAAGACACATTTTGTATACTGATTTTCCTTTTGTATTGATATAAATAAATACTTTGACCTTCAATGAAGTCTTGTGGATTGATTTCTAGTTTGTGCCTAGGAAGCAGAACTAGCATTCTAAACTTTATTAAATAAATTTTACTAATATCCCTGCTGTGGAACTGGCAAATATGTTAGATCATGGATTCAAAGTACTTGCAAGAATCTGAAATATGTATGGTTGGGTGGTATCAAACAAAATGTCATTAAAGTGTGGTATGATGGTACACAAGGACATGGGGAACGGAAAAACAAGTACAGAATTCGTCAGAATGCAATGCTTTGCCCAGCTGTGGATTCTGGATATTTTTTGTACTTTCTATAAATGTTTATTTCTTTGTCTATTATTTAGCAGATTTAAAGGCGGCCTGTTCAGAGAGCTTTCCACATGATACACAAATAGTATTGTAGATAAAAGGTAGCTAAAATCCACAATGTATATTGAAAAACAAATATACATAAAACCATAATCAGAGTTAGAATCATACAAATATTTGTATAACTAAATTACAGGACTGAGTAGGCTTGTTGAAACAATGTTTCAGCAGGGAACTGAACACATGTGTTGGCCTAATCTTTGTAATTCAAGGTATTTGAAACATCTGTGTAAGTAAAGAAATGACTGCTTATCTACTGAAAATGGATTCTGAGTAAATTTAGTGATTGGATAAGAGGGCAAGTCACAGATTGGTAAGCTTTGTGTCTTGTTTGTGGGGTTCCTCTTGGTTACTGTGGGAAATGGGATGCTATACTCATGATCTGGTTCAAAATTGATGCCAAAACTCCTAGTAAATGAGAACACCTTGTGGTGGCTTTTATATGAATCCTGGAGTAGCTATTTCAGAAGTCTAGCATGGGATCCTCTGAACTACCAACCTTTCATGTAAATGGAAAAATGCAAGTGTCACATGTCTGTTCCTGCTCAAGATTATATATGCAGCCTTGGGAAAAGGGTAAGAGTGAGACTCCTACGCTAGTCATGTTTTAACAGAAGTTCAGTGCAACTTAAGTTTACATTCATAGGATTTCAGCCACAAGTGTTTCGAAATTGTATCAACAAAATCAAATTCCTTCCAGTAGCACCTTAGAGACCAACAAAGTTTGTTATTGGTACGAGCTTTCGTGTGCATGCACACTTCTTCAGATACACACACGAGGCATGCACACGAAAGCTCATACCAAGAACAAACTCTTAAGGTGCTACTGGAAGGAATTTTTTATTTTGTTTTGACCACAGCAGACCAACACGGCTACCTACCTATATCTGGAAGTGTATCAGTGGCAAACTACTTAAAACAAAAAAACACTACTAGTCTGCAGTTAATTAGGCCTGCACACCTGAACACAAACTTTATATATCTGTCAGAATAGCAGTGCCTCCTCCCCTCCAACCCCACATAAAATGCTGCCTCCTGAAAGATAACTTAAATGTGCAAATTATGTGCAGTGAGTTCAGACTCCAAAGCACACCCACTGCAGTGTTGGACTGAAGTTCAAACTCCTGGCCAAACCAGTCAGCCTAGTATATCAGGTACTGTGATTCTAAATAAACATTAAAGTCCAGGATCTTTAGCTGTGCCTGGCTGCCTTAACGGTCTGCTTATGCGGTTCCCTGAGGCACAGACATTCAAAAGCAGTGTTGGGCTAGGCCTTTGCCCCATTCAGCAGCGCTCTTCTAAACTAGCTGCAGTGGGGAAGTAAATGCACTCTGCACATGTACAGAGGTTTTGATATACAGTATATACATCTATATAAAACGCCCATGAACACTCCCCATCACCTAGAGCAATTGTTCTCAAAGGGTGTAGCATGAGAGGATGGCAACTGTATAGTATAGTATATATAATATACTGTATAGTATAATATCAAATTAATATTTTTGGATGTAAAACCAGGAACAGTATCCACACCTCTCAAGAGCATTGGCTATTCTAGAGTTCTCCATGACATAGGGTTGTGAGCAGGGTATCTCAACTCTCATGAAACAAACATGAAAGAAAGGCTTTGTGATAAGAGGAAATGAGTTTGTCTCAAATTAGTCAGAATATAAATGAGATTACCAGGCAAAAGTGAGCTCACACCTCTTATGGAGTTTGTATACATACTTAAGTACGTATTTAAGAGGCTCGTTTATATTTCGGGAATGATTCTTGTTCTTTATGTTGCTGCATCGCAGACCCTCCAAGTTCCCCGTTTCCCAGGGACAGTCCCGGATTTACAGAAGCTGTCACGGTTTCTGATTCTGATCCCAGAATGTCCTGATTTCCTTTAGGGTGTCCCTAATTTTCACAGGAAAAATGCTGGAAGGTATGGAGTTATGCAACCCCCGAGCTATCTGAAGGCAGCTCTGTAGAAGGATGTATTTTAAGGTTTTGTGTTTTATTATATTTTTTATAGCTGCTGGAAAGCTGCCCAGTGTGGCTGGGGCAACCCAGTCAGATGCGTGGGGTATAAATATGATGATGATAGTCTATGGCTCTTGAGCCATTGCCATGATGATAGAATAGGATAGTCCTATTTTCAAAGAAGAAATGTTGGAGGCTTTACCCCCCAGGGTCAATATTACAAAGCAGTTTTGTTCTGTGCTATAAATTGAGCACTGCTAGGAGTGGCTTCTATCAGAGTATATCAGGGTGGATAAAAATCAATGATTTTTTTTTTTAAAAAAATGGAATTTTTTAAAATAAAATGCTTTTGGAGGAAAAATCTTTCTAAAGATAGTTTTCTATTTAAGTTACATTATAGTCCAAAGGCTATTCATCAGGAAATAAGGATTTGTTGTACGTTTTTCATGTGTGCTAAAACTCAGTCTACGAGTGTTGTTTTTTTAAAATCATTTAACCACATCAGTTAACAACAACAGTTAACAACCATGGCTACATATGCTACAATGTTATCATTTTAGTTAAATCTAAAATCCTTTAAATTGTTATTAAGGAAATGATATATTTTCTCCTTCCAATAAAGTACAGCGGGAAAGTTGCCCAAATATAAACAGTTAACTCATTAAACCTCACAATAATTTCACAATTATCTGTCCATGTATTTCTAATAGTATAACCAAATCAGTAATTTTTGATAGAACTGTAAAAACTACTCTGAAAATTTATTATTCCAAAAATGAAACCTTCCTCTGGTTGTAAATATTATGATACCAGCAAGAATGAGTCTTTCTGTAAAAAGAGAGAGATTTGAATCAACTCTTACTGACTAGTGATTTAAATCGATTG